TTTTTTTTTTTTTTTTTTTGTGAATAAGATTAGCCCTGAGCTAACATCTGTTGCCAATCCTCCTCTTTTTGCTCAGGAAGATTGGCGCCATGCTAACATCCCTGCACATCTTCCTCTACTTTATATGGGATGCCGCCACAGCATGGCTTGATAAGCAGTGCTTAGGTCCACAGCCAGGATCTGAACCTGAGAACCCTGGGCTGCCGAAGCAGTGCATGCGAACTTAACCACTATGCCATTGGACTGGCCCCAAGAATACAGTTTTTTTGCAAGATCAATTTGCAAGGAGACAGGAGGCCATGCTCTCAAATCTCTCTCCCCAGCCAAGGTATGGGGAAAGGTTTAAGGCATCAGAGAGGGCTGGCTGGTATGCAGAAGCACTGGCAGGATGGGTTTTGATTGGCATATATTGTGATTTATAATAAATATATAATTGGTCTGCATGTCTTCATCGTGGTTGCTGACACATAGCTCCTAAAACCCTCCCATTTCCTTTATAAGAGCCATAGTGGCATCATTTGTTATGATATTTAGTTTTGTTCTCAGTTCTTGAAATAGCTCCAGAGCAATACAGGTGAAATGAATGTCTTTTGCTTTTCATAACAAGCCCCTTTCAACCACACCTGAGTTTATGTTAATGAAATGACTATCAGAAAGCCCCTTAGGATGGGGGCTGCTTGCCAGGGGTACAACCATGTGATTAAAGTGTTGGGACTTTCGGTCTCACTTCTGCCCTCTAGGGAGAGGAGAGGGGCCAGAGGTTGAGTTAATCACCAATGGCAATGATTTAATCAATCATGCCTACTTAAGGAAGCCTCCATACAAATCCCAAAAATATGGAGATCAGAGAACTTCCAGGTGGGTGAACAAGTAGAGTTTCTGGGAGAGTAGTGCACCCAAAGAGAGCATGGAAACTCTCAGCCCCTTTCCACATAACTTACCCTATTCACCTGTTCTGTCTGACTGTTTCTAAGTTATATACTTTTATAATAAACCTGTGATCTAGTAAGTAAAATGTTTTCCTGAGTTCTGTGAGCCACTCAGCAAATTAATTTGACCCAAGGAGAGGGTCATGGGAACCTCTGATTTATAGCCAGAAGCACAGTAACAGTCTGGACCCGCTGTTGGCATCCGAAGGGGGTCAGGGGACAGTCTTGTAGGACTGAACCCATAACCTGGGGGATCTGACTTTCTCCAGGTAGACAGTATCAGAATTGAGTTAAATTGTGTCACAATTGTTTTTGCAACATATATTCCCAATTCTCTTCCTCTTTTAATATTCCTCATTTGGGTGACTAGAACCCCTTTTCACAGAACAACCAAAACATGAAAACTGAAGAGTATTGAGAAGTCTATTAATGTATTTTTATAACTCCTACATCTTCTCAATGAGACCTGCTTAAAATTGCAACTCCTCCTGTACTCCCAGTCTCTCTTACACTGCTCTATTTATTTATTTTCCAACATAATGTGCAATTTAATTGTTATTTTCATTATTTATTATGTATAAAGTATAAGCTTCCCAAGGATAGGGAATTTTTGTCTATTTCAGTTACTGAAGTATCCTAAGCATCTAGAACAGTACTCAGCACATTTTGGTCATTCATTAAAAATTTAGAAAGTGTAGAGTGAATTTGTAGAGTGAATAAATATATGTAGACTGCAGAATTTGTAGTGTAAATAAATTCTTTTTTGGTTGATCTCACAGCCTTCACTATTCTTTGAGGTGGTGAATACTTATTAAACGTCTGTCGAATGAATTGATTACAAGTAAACAACTCAATTTCCGTAAATAAGAAATTGTTTGAGAACTCCTCAGTGTTATGGATTTTAAATGAGATGAAATGAGTAGACATAATATCCTTCATAAACTACAGAAACCATACCACAAATTGTAGATTTTGTCATTTCCAACTTGAGGTTTTTTCCTAGGTATCTAATAAGCAACAAACTGATATTCTATTGTCAGTAACTGTGTCACTCATAAGCGGTGGTAATAAGTACCCCAGGTATTTTAATAGAAGACTTAGATATGTAATTCCACTCTACCCCTTGACTAGGATTAGAAAAAGAGTCTTGTTTTGTTGAATACACACCAAAATTTGCGGTCACACACTTTATCTATAAATTAGCCAGATATGTTGTATTCTGTGCACTTGGTCAAGAGATGGATATGAGAATTTTCTTGACACATTCTTCATCACATTTGGAACAATAAACTTCATTTAGGGGCCGGCCCCGTGGCTTAGCAGTTAAGCGCGCGAGCTCCGCTGCTGGCAGTCTGGGTTCGGATCCCGGGCGCGCACTGAGGCACCGCATGTCCAGCCATGCTGAGGCCGCGTCCCACATACAGCAACTAGAAGCATGTGCAACTATGACATACAACTATCTACTGGGGCTTTGGGGAAGAAAAAAAGGAGGAGGATTGGCAATAGATGTTAGCTCAGAGCTGGTCTTCCTCAGCAAAAAGAGGAGGATTAGCATGGATGTTAGCTCAGGGCTGATCTTCCTCACACACACACAAAAAATTATACCATTCATGACCTATCTAAATCCTATAAGCCATTTATGGCAAGTATTTGTTAAGTAGGGTAGCCATATAATCTATCCTTCAATTTGGGACATTTTTAATAGTGAAGGAGCACAATTATTTATTCTGGGGCATTGGGTTTACCCAGAATGCCCTGAAAAAACAAGGATGTCAGATAACCTATTCTTAACCCATTACATCTGGGTTTTGGTCCATGAAAAGATAATACCAGAGTTCAATAACACAATGGTTTTCATATAAACCATTATAAGCAGCAAGAGTAATTGATGCTTCCATGTTTTATTTTATGGAAGCATCCCATGTTTTATTTTAACTAAAATGTTATCATGTTAAAAATGTTCTTCTCTTAACAGCCTACCATGGTTTCTCAAATTATTAAAATATACTTAAGAATTTTCTTAACCAACAATTTAATCCAAATTTATAACAACTAATTTATCCAGTGACCATTATATTGAAGTTGTGGTAGATACTTTAGGACTCTGGATCATTTAAGGGACTACTAAGGCATAATGTTTTGTGAGGATGGCAACATTTTATTGTCATTACTGGTCAAATGGCAGAAATCAAACTCTGATGAAATGAGTAAGTTTTTAGAGGACAGAGATGTTTGAACAGAAGTGAGTTCATTCAGAATATATGAGCAGAGAACAGTGTTGCAGCGCAGTATAGGAGAATAGAGGAGCGTCGTGTCACTTGTCCAAAAGGAAGAAGTGACGATGACAATTCTGGTTGATGTCATAGTTTTCTAGTTCTTAGCTCTGTCTATGGGTTATATACTACTCATCTTTAAGAAAGATATTCTTTATAATTCATTTCTCTCTTTTTACTTAGATAAATCTTGCTTTGAAGAGAAAAAAGGTACATTTATTCATTCTTTAAATTTTACCAATACTGATTTCTATTTCAACAGGTTTCATTGCATTTATCTTCACATGTAAGTTCTGTGGATACTCACAGAAATATAAGTGCCGGATAACTGAAATGAAATGAAATGAAATGACTCCATTTGATCTGTTCATGCCTTGTGGAATTATATTTAAGGAATTCTTGAGTAGCTGTCTTTCAAGAGCATGTTTGATTGATGATTAAAAGGTGATGAAAATGCATATTCTTGCCTTTATTTATTGTATTCACTATGTTAAAAGTGGTTTTCTTTCCCAAAGAATCCCTAATTTTTGGTTCCTTAGTATTATAAAGTGCACAAAAGCCTAAATTAAATTTATTTTTCTAGGTCAAAACTATAAAACATACTTTGAGCTAAGTTGAAAAAATTCTTCAAAAACAGTGTAATTAAAATAGAATCATACCTATTTGAGTTAAAAACACTTAAGTATTGGAACAATAAACTTAAGACTAGCAATAAATCCTTAAAGCTAGTGGAGAGATGCCGATTAATTTAGAAAGTAAAAAAGCATATATAATTTAAATGTAAATTTCTCATGGTGTGTTAATACTAAAAGAGTAACCTATAAAAGAAAAGTATCCAGGAGCCAGCGTGGTGGCATAGTGGTTAAGTTCGTGCACTCTGTTTCTGCAGCCCGGGCGTTCATGGGTTCAGATCCCAGGCATAGACCTACGCTCTTCTTATCAAGCAATTCTGTGGCATGCATCCCACATATAAAGTAGAGAAAGAAGGGCATGGATGTTAGCTCAGGGCTAATCTGCCTCACCAAAAAAAAATAAATTATAGTGATGTTAATCAATGCTGACAATTTTGGAAAACTTGCATGGATGTCATATCCAAGTAAAGTTTAAAACTAGACAGAACCAGGAAATTTAAAAAAAAATAAATATTTGAAAGACTGTACATTATTTCTTTTCTATGGTTAGTGAATGTTGTTTACAATCTGCTTATCTTAACCAAGTGAAAATTAGATCTCCATCTTAAAGTATCAGAAGACTAATCCATGTCTGAATGTATGCTTCAGGGTATTATTTAAAGAGGGAAAGAATTTTTGCTAAAGCACTGTAGTTCTGCACTGGAAAATGAAAATAGGTCACGTGGGTGCTCTATCTGACCAGGCACTAACTAAAATACATAATCGTAGTAAGATAACCAGGTCATAGATAATTTTCATTATGGACAGGTTGAATTCTATGCTGCTGATACTTTTAATGTCATGAATATGTCAGGGAGCTCTAGATCCTCTGTTATCAGAGGGATAGAGATGTAGACTAAATAGTTTAATTTATCACAATTTTCCCCTAATGTACTGGTATAGACTGAATAGATTAATTATATTCTTAAAAAGGCAAATAAAGATGCTTACTTATTTGTATCAGTATTCAAAAAGAAAGAAATGACTAATAAATTACTGTTCCCTTTAGTATCCTACTCATTCTTCCAAAGTAGGACACTCACTCTGTGGGTGCCCCGCCCTCAGGAGGACTAGAGAAGAATCTGAAGTTGTGATTCCTCCACTGCTAACTCTATTATTCCTTACTTTAATGGGTCCTTGTACTTCTCCTGGAAAGCTGTAAACTGTAAAATTCATTAAAGATAGATCCCTTGTTTTATCATTCTTGTTCACGTTATAGTGCCAATTGAGTATTTGGCATGACTGTAGGGAATCTAAGATTACTTGTTGAATAAAGGAATAAAAGTCTCTTCTCTGCCATTTTTCCACATCTGGAGTTTACTCCATTGATATTTTCTTCATTGTTCTAAAGTTAAAACTTGTTTTCTGAGAGCTTTGAACTGGCTAGGGATGGGGTACAGGGCAGACCACTCCAAAATATGCCATTTTATCATATTGATTATTTTGAATCGAAGTTACTTAAGAAACAACGTGTGCAAGAAGGACACTCTGACCTTCCTTTGTCCCCCTAAAGCAGTAAATGAATCTCCCATGTGAAAGGATTTCTTCCTGTACTAGGAGAGAGAGAGAAATTCTTATCACCAGAGATAGGGAATTCAGGGCTGAGAAGGCTGTATAAAAAAACCTTGTTATTCTTTACTAATCTACTACATCAAATCCAAACCCCTTTATCTTGTCAATTCTTCACAAATTTATTGTTTCTTTGTCTAAAAGGTATAAAAGCTGCCTGCTTTGTTCACTTCTTTGAGTCTCACATTTTTATGAGCTCCTGTACATATGACATTAAATTTATTTTTTCTCCTTTTAACCTGCCTTACATCAATTTAACTATTAGACCAGCAAAGAACCTAGAGAGGAGGAAAGGAAGAGTTTTTCCTCTCCTACTCTAGCTAAACATGTTACACAGCCAGAGGTTTTTTTTTTTATAGTTTGTATTTATTTATTTTTTTCCCCCAGCCCCAGTAGATAGTTGTATGTGATAGCTGCATATCCTTCTAGTTGCTGTATGTGGGACGCGGCCTCAGTGTGGCTGGAGAAGCAGTGCATCGGTGTGCGCCCGGGATCCGAACCCGGGCTGCCAGCAGCCAAGCATGTGCACTCAACCGCTAAGCCACGGGGCCGGCCCATAGCCAGAGGTTTGATTGATGAATCCTTTTGCAAAGGAGAGGTTCTCCAATGGGCAGGTTTCAGGCATTGTAACAATATGAATATTTCTTGACAATTCAAATTGTACTTAACCAGAGACTGCATATTCTTCAGCACACATGTTCAGTCATGTGTGAGTTCTTCAACATTTAACACTACAAGGAGTGATTTGAAGGCTTCACAGGGCTCAAAGTAATACTTCTAAACTTTTCCTTCTCAGGGCCTCCTCTCTATGTCAATTTCTACCTCCTTCATTTCACCTTAAACAAGAGTGTATCTGGAGGTATAATCCTCATTTCTCTCTCTCTCTCTCATAGATCTTTTTGACCAACAAATAAAGTAATTCCCAGTGTGATATGCACAATCAGATTTTATTCTGTCTTGGGAAGAATATAAAATAAGGTATCTTTTCATATTTGTGCATGACAAAACACTCCATCCATGATATTTTATTAAAAATAGATGCATCCTGCACATCTTTAAAATAAATATAAGGAAATATCAAATTAAGATCTTATCCATAACAAGCTGGAGGCATTTAACTTAGTATCTAACTCACTCATTCATTTCTTCAATAGTAATATGTATAAATGCCCAATGTATATACAGATATATAATCGTTTTATTCATAACATAAGTAAATATCCCTATCCCTCCTGCACTGTCTCCGCTCCTCATGTACTTCTCCAAGAGGCAAAAATGTGGCCACGTTTTGTTGATATACCCTCAGATACATTCTATGCATATACAGACACACACACATGAACACGCACACAATTAAAATGCATATTACATGAAGATTATAAATTTAAAAAATAACATACTATAATAGTATTGTGCACCTTGATTTTTCCCTTACTAATCTAACTTGAACATCAATTAATATCACTATCTATAAAACTAAGTCAATCTTTTTAATGCAAGGCTATTTTCACACTTGTGGGATTATAAAAATAAAAGAGAGTTTCTTTTTATCTCGATATAATAAATCTTGAATGAGGCATGTATTTTTATGACCCAATTTTCCCTCTCTCCGTTAACAAGAAAACAAAAATAATACATACTACGTAATCAGGAACTTTCATTTTTCCAAATTTATTACTACATGTGTTACACAGGCTTCCCCAAAGCACATCTTGAGACGAGCATTCATGTGTTAGCAGGTAATTATAGATTTGCTTACAGAAGAAATCAACAAAGGAATAGCAGGACAGGGAAGGAGAATCAGCCAAACAAGGACACAATTATAAGAGAATCCTTAGCATCAGCCTAATCCAAAAAGGAGGTCTAGAGTGCAAATCAGCCCTCAAGGAAGGGAGCTAGGCTTTCTTATTTCCACATAAGAGGAGCCTAGAATTCCAGGAATTTCCGACTCCATGCATAGGTGGAAGTCTCTCCAGGATCCTAAGGGCAGTCTTGTGAAGATGTTTGCAAGTAGGAAGCGTTAAAATGATGAAATACAGAAGCTGAGGAATGAGTGCACAGACCGATATGAGTGTTCAGAGACCATCTAGATGGTGCACAGGCAGTAACTGCTCCCGTTCAAACTTGTACTTTGAGAAAATCGATTTGTTTCTCACATTAAGTTCACCCCGTTTTATCCAGGCTTCCCCAAGATTGTTATCAGTCACAGCTTCTGGGGAAAACCTACCAGTCAAGAGTAGTGGAGTGAGCTACAGCCCTTGCCGCTTCCTGCTTTGGGTGCTGAAGATGTAGCTGATATGGATCACTAGGAGAGACGATGAGTGTGACCATTGCTAGTTTCACCTTTGGTTCTTGGACCTTATATTACACGTACCAGAGACACAGCACTATATAACGGCAACTGGTTTAAGGCCTATATCGTATCCTTGAGGATAGCACCCAAAACTCACTAGATATAATCTCCAATCTGGTGCCTTGACCATACCTGAAAGTGTCTGTTGCAGTGTACTATTGGGCCAGCAGATCCTAGATGATGTGGTATCAGGTGGAACCAGTGGATCCTATGGTCATATGCCTACTGCTAAACTTCATTTTTCATAAAGTGGGATTCCATGTTAGTAACAGGAACTGTGAGTGTGCTGTTGGCCAAGGCACTACAGACAGAACAGTTAAAACTAAACCTAGAATATATATCAATTCCAATCAAGAGGAGTCACCTCTCTTTCAAGGCTCAGCTAGAGTAGATGTAATCATCTTGCCACCAAGGTGGTCGGTGGACTCTTTAAGGAGTACAGTCGTGCATCACTTAATGATAGGAAAATGTTCTGAGAAATGTGTCATTAGGCAATTTTGTTATTGTGTGAAAATCATAGAGTGTACTTATATGAGCCTAGATGGTATAGCCTACTACACACCTAGGCTATATGGTACCAATTTTATGGGACCACCATTGTATATACTGTCTGTCATTGACCAAAATTTGTTATGTGACTTATAACTGTAGTGGCATAACGGGGGCTTGGCATCAGTTTTCGTTGAAGACTAGCTGGACATCAGGAGTAGAAGTAGCTAGATCAGTCTTGTCGGGTGAAAGCACATACTGCTGGGCCCAGGCTTTCCGTCCATTTCCATCATCATGGTTATGACTTTATTCATGCACAAGTGGCAGAGTCGCCAAGACAGAGGCTGGTCAACATCTACTGGAAGAGTCGCCTTATCTACCTGTTTGTTATGTACCTCTTTTGCAATGAATGCTCTCTGGTGGCCATTAATGCAAGGCACATAGGTTCTTACAAGTTTTCTTGCCAACTCCCATAGATCCATCCACATGACTTTTCCAGAGAACTCTTTATCCCTTATATCCTAACCTTGCTTCTTTCAGAATCCAACTTGCCATTGAGTAGTGTATCTCCTTAGCTTGGGTCACTTATTTCTTCACATAAAGTGAATGATGATCAGATTCACTGAGTGGAGCTAAAATGTAACAACAGCCCATTCCCAGCTCTCCCCAACTAATAAGCACACAAATTCTGCCCTTTGGAACTTCTGGGACCCCATCCTAGATTTATCGCTTCAACAATATAATAGATTGCTGCTGGGTGCACTCAACTTTGTAAGCTGGAAGCTCTGATAAAACCAAACTCAAGATGAACAACTTTCTCTCATAGTCACATAATCTCTCATGGTCAAAAGATCAGGATCTACCAGGCCCTGTATAATGCAAGGAGCTGATTTTTAATTGATGTATTGTCCCTCACTGTAAATAGTATGGCCTTGTTCCAATATCACAGACTTCTGTGCTGTGACTCTTCTACTGGGACTTAGCAGAAACTCCACATGGTAACTGCATCTACCATAGACACATCTAGAACCAAAGAATCTGCTTGGTTCTATACAGTTATAACCTAACTGTATATTTAACTGTATAACCCAACAGTAAGGACTACACATACAGCAGCCTGGAGCTGCTTTAGAGCTCTCCATTTTTCTACACCTCTCTCAAAACTGGCAACCTCCAAGTTACTCATAAATGAGTCAGAGCAGTATTCCAATATGCTATGTGATACAAAACCCAAAGAGATCTACCAAGTGCATGTAAAGTGCGATAACGTGTCTTTTACCTTAAAAAAGATGTCCTAGCATTCCCCAAACCCTGGACTCCTAAAAAGTGTCCTGAAGTACCATGCCCCAAATCATTTTAGAGACTTTCTCTCACTCACCAGGTTACTTGCTAATTTCTGCTCCTCAGATTAGATTAACATGGCATCATCAATAGAGATAACTAAAGTGATGCTTGTGAAATATCCAGATGATCCAAGTCCCTCAGATTATATTCTATATCAGAGAGTGAGAGAATAATATGGTCCTGAGACAGGGCCATTAATATACAATCTTTGCCATCCCATGTGAATGCAAGCTCCTCTGGTTTTATTCCTGATGACTATTGAAAAGAGCATATTTGTCAGATGAATAGCTACACACCACAAACAAGAAACATGTCAATCTATTCTGTGAATCTATTGCAGATACCACTTCTGCAACACTAGCTGAATTGGGGGTTACTATTTATTAACTTTGCAACTGTCCACATTTATCCTCCATGATCCCTTTGTCTTTTTCAGAAGCCAGGCTAATAATTTAAATAAGATGATGGCACCACAATTATAGCATTCTTTAAGACTTTGAGAGGGGTACTGATCTCTGTCATTCCCCTAAGTATACACTGGTTTTCTATGTACTGTCTTAGCCAGGACAGTGTGACATTTTTCAAGGCCTTCCACTTTGCCTTTCTACTATATTATTTCTCACTCCACAGGTCAAGGAATCAATGTGAGGGATCTGCCTGATGCCAAGCATGTGTGTCCCAACTCCGTATTTACTTACTAATGAAAGCCTGGTTGGTCCTTGAATGTATTGAACTACTGTGAGGCGAACTTGAGGCAGAATACTCAAATGCTCTGGTTTGATGTTCTCCAGTTTGATGTTCTCTGAGTTTCCTGTATCTGTGGTTTGATATATGTCATTAATATTGGAAAATTCCCAGCCATTATTATTTCAAATATTTCTTCTTTCTTACTTCCTTTCATCATTTCCTCTTTCTTTCCTCCCTCCCTCCCTCCCTTCTTTCCTTCCTTCCTTCCTTCCTTCCTTTTTCTCTTTCTCTCTTTCTTCTCCTTCTGGTATTCCAATCACACACATACTATCTTTGGTAATTGTACAAATTACAAAGTTCTTGGATATTCTGTTCCATTATTTTTTTTTCTCTTTGCATTTCAGTGTGGGAAGTCTCTATTTGCATGTTTTAAAGTTCACTGATTCTTTCCTTGGCCATGTCAAGTCTATTTATGAGCCTATAAAAGACATTTGTCATTTGCGTTGCAGTGATTTTGACTTTTAGTATTTCCTTTGATTCTCTCTTAGAGATTTCCTCTCTCTATTTACATTTCTAATCTGTTCTTGCATGTTGTCTACTTTTTCCATTAGGGCCCTTAACATATTAATCATAGTTATTTTAGATTCCCTGTCTGATAAGGGGGGAATACTAGCCTCTACCAACGGAGTGGGGCACTTCTTCAGGCATGTGGGGTAAAAGAGAATTTGAGAGTTGGATGTTCTTAAATTTATCTACCCAGACATTCCTATCTCAAGACAAAGTTTCACTTGTTCCCTATCAAGACCAAAATTTTCTGTGGGAGATTTGTTGAGGCTAGAAATTTACCTTTCTCTCAAATTTTGCTACTTCTTCAATTAGATTTCAAGGCTGTTGGCCTTCCACTATAGGAGATGAGGGTCTTTTAAACATTGCCAAAGAGGCAATCTGATTTTCACACTGGATCTCAGGTTGGAAATTGATTGTTCTGAGCTTGTCATTTTCCTTGTCAATGGATAAACCACACCTTGTGAAGACTAACTCATTCCAAAGTCCTGATACTCATCCTTTTCCTCAGTACCTCTCAAGTGCTGGCCAAGTTGCAAAACCAATGCAGCTCCTTCCGCCTCTATCATATCCAATTCATTACAGGAGAAAGTCTTAGCAATTGCAATGATACACCACGTCAGGGGCTATCATCTTCTCTGCTACAAGCAGTGGGGCTCTTTATTGCTCTGTGGACAGTGAGTGATCCAATGTCATACTGCCATTTATAAAGTCAGGTTCCTAGAAGCCCTTTTGTTTCTAATTCTCTTAGGTCCCAGAAATAGACCTTAAGCTGAGGATCCTAATGCAAATGATTTGTTGAAGAAACACAGAAACTAGTTGGCTCGTATCCATATATAGTCTCAGTCTTTTCTGCAATCATTGACATGCCATTTAATATAACAAAGAAATAAATTAAATAATGGCATCCTTATGTGCGGTCCTATCGGTTTTAGATGCCTAGAAAGCCTCCTTCCCTTCTCTTTCTGCTTATACCACACCCATTGCTTTGCAGAACCTCCCTCTCACCCATAAATATTAAGTAAACATGTAATCCAGGCCTATCCAACTATATCGTTATCCTATCATCCTGGTCAGAATGATTCGACTATGGTTGGCCACGGAACACAAAGTTGATCCAAGTCCTCCAGGGTGTTGGCAAAAAGAAGGAGGCTTTATCTGTTACTGACTCTATGGAAATGCTATAATCTGAGACACCTATGAACATATTTCCCATTCATGACATATTAAGAAAAAATGTGGCTGAAACACAGAAAGAATCAAAACTGAGAGATGGAGAAAGGGGGAGTCCCTACAATATCAGTTGTGCCCTGGATTTGGTCTTATACCGTTGACTCTTTCCCGTGCATGTGGGCCAAAACATTCTATTTTTTTCAAGCTCATTTATATGAGTTTGTACTACTTGAAGGTGAAAGGGTGAGATTATTATTCTTAATAAGCTGAAACTGTTAATGTAATGAATTATAACTGAAGGAAAAGGAAACAAAATCCAAAAGAAAATTGAATGATATACTTAAAATGATGAAAGAAAGTAGCTACTAACCTACTACTATAAAACCAGCAAAAGTACTGAAAGTGACATGTTTTCAGACAAACAAAAAATTGAGAAAATTTGCAATTAACAGACTTGAATTAAAAGACATTCTTAAGGGAGTTGTTGAAAAAAAGAAAAGTATTTATAGACATAGAGAAATACGGGAACAAATAAAGAGCAGACTATATGGTGAATATGTAGATAAACTTAAATGAATGTTGATTGTGCAGAATACTAATAAAAAGTCTTTTATAACTTAAAATTAAATTAAACTATACATCCAAAATACTGCAAATGTGGAAGTAAGCTAGGATTCTTACAGTATTTTAAAATCCTTGTATGTCTGAGAAGTAACAAAGTATTACTTTATATTAGGAGCAAGTTGTAATCTTTAGAAAACCCACTGAAGAATAGTTAAAAATGTACAAATGACAATCTAACAAAGGAGAAGATTGAACAATAAGATTTCATTCAATTATTTCAAAAGAAAGCTAGACAAGGGAAAAAAAGAAACAGAATAGATTGGATAAATAGAAGACAAATTTTAATATGGTATATTTAAATTCAAATATGTCAGTAATTTTATTAAACATAATGGACTAAATGCTCCAAGTAAAAGTAAATAAATTCCCATACCAACTGAGAAATACAAAGTCAATTATATACAGCTTATGAGTCACACCTTAAAATAATGAAAGAAAAAAAATGAGAGTAAAAAGATTAAAATATACACCAAGCAAACAATATACCATACCTACTCCTACCCCCTAAAAAAGATGTGGCTATATGATAGCAGATAAAATTGACTTTAAGGCCAAAAGCCTTATTAGAAATTTGTATATTCTAATACTATAGACCAGCAGTCTGTAACTATGGACTTTTTCCTGTATTTGTAAATAAAGTT